AGGACTAATGGTGGGTTACAATGCATCTGCTCTGCCACTTAGTCAGAAGATGAAGATGATCGAAGCCACAAATTTCCTGAACCCAATTGGCGATGATGACGCGACGGCCGCCATTTGCATCACAGTACTTGTTAATGGGAGTAGCTACACTGAAATTACTGCTACTTTTTTCTGTTGATCGACAAAAGGGGAAGATGAACTGTTACGAGAAAATCGGGTGTGTGTAGAAATTTGAAGTCATTTTAATGGGAGTGTGTGTTGAGGAATGAATTGAAGGGAAAATCTCTCGATAACGACTTTGAGCTTTGGGGCAATACACGCCACATGTTTTCTTTTTTCATGTTTCTTATTTCTTATTTTTAAAAATTATGTATTTTCTAATAAAATATTTGGTTTTATTTCGTCAGAAAGAATATTTATTATTCTATTTCATGATTCTTTTTCTTTTTTAATTGTTTAGGCGTTTTTTTTAATATTAAATTATTTAAAATGAGTAAGTACTATTAAAGTAAGTATTAACGGCATTCGGATCCCACGGACTTAAATTTCTGACTCCACTAGTTAACACATTTCCCCAATAGTTATTTTGAATTAATTTTGTATGATAATTAAAAACTCTGAAATGCTAAATGTCGTTATAATTTTATTAATGGTGTTTTGACTTAAAATTTGATTTTGACATATTTCTATTTTGATTTTGGCAAAATTTGAAACACGAAAACTGTAGTCCTTTGGGTTAGCTTTCTAATCCAACTTAAATCTGCTCGATTGGATCCCGTGTGACAAAGTTATGCATGAATGAGTCACATTTTGAATTTTAGATACCTCAATACATCAAAGTTATTGGCAGTATTCATTGATTCATGTATATCTTTCTCATCCGATATCCAATTTTGGTGATTCAAGTTGGATTAGAAAACTAACTCAGAATATTACAAAGTCTATTTTTCAGGTTTTGCAAAAGGCTGCGGCTATATACAAGACTAATTCAACTTGTGCAAGACCAAATTAAAATTTTCAATGTATAAATACTATAATACCCTTACTTATTAAAAAATAGAAAATTCCAAATGTGCAAGACCAAAAATTCAAAAACACAAAAAACCCTATACAAGACCACAAACACAAGACAAACTCTCATCTTCTCCATCTTCCAAAATCCACAAGACCTTTCTCCTTCCTCCTCCATAAACCCACAAAACCTAGATATTCAAAATCATCAAAATTCAACAAATCTTACAAAGATGGCAAGTATGGAGTCAGAAGACATCAAAATAGAAGATTCTACAATGGAAGAACCCAAAAAACTATGTATTTATCGATTTTCCAAAAAAAAATCTCACACAAACGAATTCGACATGTACAGGTCGAATTTTACAGGTAAAAATCGACATTTAAATGTCGATTTTGAGGTATAAAATTCGACATTCGAATTTGTACTACAAATTCGACATGTCAATGTCGATTTTTACCTATGCAATTCGACGCTTAAGTGTCGATTTGTAGCATAGTTTTTCGACACCTTGGTGTCGATTTTTACTAGTTTCAAATTTAATTTGTTTTCCTCTTTTTTTGGGCAGATTTAGGTCACCCATGATTGTGCGTGGCGGGGCTGGCGATCGGCGGCGGAGTTTGAGCGGCGGAAAAGGTGGACGTAGGTAGAGTTTCGGGGAGGGGGGTGTGTTTGTTTTTTGAATTCACGCTTCTATGTTTTTTTTTATTTTTATTTTTTTCCTCATTATTTGTATTTGGTCTTGCATGAGAAAAAAAAAACCAATTTAATTTATGGGCATATTTGTCATTCCATCTTAATAAAATAGAATCTTTTGGAATCTTTCTTTAATTTGGTCTTGCACAAGTGGAATGAGTATTGCATATAGCCGCAGCCTTTGCAAAATTTGAAACTAAAAATGATTAAAATCACGTTTGAAATCGTAACGGTATTTATCACATCCCAAAAGAACTACAGTAGAACCTCGATAAATTAATACCCGATAAATTAATAACCTCGCTTAAATAATAAATTTTTCCGGTCCCGACTCGGGGACAACGTGCTAAATTAATAATTCGCTAAATTTATAAGATAATACACATTCGAAAAATTTAAGAAGCCCCATATAATATATAAATTAATAATGCATAAAAATAATTCTTAAATTACATGGTATAGTACATATTTTATAGATCTGTGAAAGCTTAATACAATATAATTTAATTGTTGCTTGTTTCTTGTTGAAGTTCACATTACCATCAATCTCGTCCCTCACTTTTCTTAACATGGTTAGAACTTTCGGTATAGTTTTCACATAACTCAACATAAAATCGTTCTATACCATTCATGCTTTAAGAGCTTCCGTTCGTGAAACGGGCTCTATAATGCATTGAACTAATGGTACAATGAATAATATACACGTAAAAAAAATTAAAATAATGTATGTATTGAAAATAATAATAAAAGTAATTTCATAAATTAATAATTTATTAATTAATATATAAATTAATAATTATTAATTTATCGATAAGTTAATATTTCGCTAAATTAATGAAATTTTGATGGTCCCAACTGTATTAATTTATAGAGGTTTAACTGTACGTGTTTTCTAACTAGCTAGAGTTAAATTTAACTACACTAAAATTAAAAATATCCCAAAATTCAGATAATTTAATATTTTACTCTCTTTACACCATCACACGTGTTTTCTTTTCACAGTGAAATTTATGTAATCTGCCTTCAAAAAAGAAAACAGAAAATCTATGTAATCTGAAGAATGTTTGTAATAGATATATATGCACGAAATCTGACTTTTTATACACATAATATCTAATTGTATAGATCACAAACTTTGTGTTATTTAGGTAATCACACACACATATATACATAATCATAATACATAAAATGTAATAAAAATAAAAAAAGAACATGCACGTGCGTACCACGTGATCTCTCATTTCTCTATATATAGCACAACCAACAAACCACTGTTACTCAGTTTTCATACTGCCATCGATCTTTCCGCTAATAAACAAAAAAAATGGCGATTCTCCGCACTACTCTTCCGATCATCGCCGCCATCTGTTTACTTCTACCTTGCCCACCATTCTCCTCCGCCGCCGACAAAAGTTACGAGCTAGCCACCAAAGTCTGCAAAAACACAACAGACTTCGACTTCTGCCGGGGGGTCGTGTTCCCAGACCCACGCGCTGCCGCCGCCGACCGCGTGGATTTGGCTTACATAATCTTCAACTTGACCTACATCAACTCGACCAGCACCCAAGAATACATCGAACGGGAAATCAAGTCCATCGGCGGCGGCGACGCAGCATTACTGGAAGGACTGAAAAAATGCAGGGATTACTATAAAGAGGCAACTCGGACTCTTTTATACGATATGCTGGGAGACTTGGATTCTGATAGCTATTCTGGGTTCGATAAAGCATCGCTTAGAGTTAAAGAACAAGCAACCGCCTGCGTATTGGGTCTCCGCCACTCCGGCGGAGGATCTCCGGCGATGAGGAAGAGGAACGGCGTTCTGGTCAAGCTTGCCGATGTTTGTTACGCCGTTTCTTTGCTATTTCCGTATAGTTGATTCCTTTTTCTTTTCGTTTTGGCCTTTGGGTTGGTGATGAAATAAGTGTGTGTTGATTCAAATTTTTATTTGAAGTTGATATAATTAATTATTTAATATTTTAATTATTATTATTAATCCAAAAATTGATCCGATTCTAAAATCCATGGGCCCATATTAAAGTTAAAGCCGACCCAATAACATTATAGTTGCAGGCCCAAACCTTGAGATAGTGGGCCGCCCTTTTTTTATATAGTTATAAGTTATAACTAGAAATTCAGAAAAAAATAATTAATAGATATTTAAAATATACTGTGCAACTATTATAAAAGGATTATCATTATTTTCATTTCATTTTTACCACTAAGGCCCACTCAAGGCTGGGCCCAAAGAACGAAATCCACCAAAGCCCACTAAGGTGTGCCGCCTAAAGAGCAGTCCACACCAAGCTCGACCCCTTGGCGACACGTTCAGGCGTAGGAGAGGAATTGCCGACGACCGAGCGGGCAAGTACCATGAGGCGCATTAAATGACCTTGGCTAGCTTGTCTCGCACTCATGCCGGCGCAATAATTGCACTGACACCAACATTTATTGTCCGGTGAAATTTGGAAAAATGTGAGAGTCTAAGGAAACGTGCAAAAAGGCTATCCACCAAGGAATTACGCGAAGCGGCGGCAACTCAATAAATAGTAATGATGGTTCGGGTTAACCGGAGACCGCATGAATTAAGGAGGCGACGAGAGCGGCGATACGTACACCCTCACCTCGGATTTCAGCGGTTGGTAAGGCTCGAACGAGAATGTTATAAATGGGGACTCCCCCACCCCCTTTAAGAGTTTTTTTTCCCCGGTTCTACATTCATATATGGGCTAAAAGGTTTCCTTATCAATAGTAATTTAAGTCCATTCCTAAGATCGTCCATTGCCCTTTACTGACATGATCATTGTAGTGTTCACTCCGACATCAGTCCAACTCTCCTTTGTTTTGACAGTATAATTACATTCCGCAAGGAAAGATTTTTGCCATTTCCATAATTACGAAGGTGCTATAAAGTATAAAGAGCTGAACGTTTTTAGGACGGATCAGTAACGATTAGAGACAGGGAGTTATGATCTATTTTCGTTCAAAAATAAAATTATATATGATATAAATCAAAGCACAAAAGATGAAAAAACAAACTTGGTTTTTTTCTTTAATTTTTTTTTTACATAAATCAGACAATTGAATTTGAGGTTATTACTATACGATTAGAAACAGACAAATCCCTGATAACAATCATTAGAGAATCTGTCATCGAATCCAAAAACGTCGGTCGAGGATCATCAATTTATGTTAACCACAAAAGATAAGTTTAAGCTAAACCCAATTCCACGAACTCTCTAGAATTACAACAAGAAAATGTTAATGTAACCATAGCTTTGACTTGGTCAAATTTCACATGTATGCGTACACATATTCTTTATTAAAAAAAAAAAAAGTTTCTTTGGTCTTTTTCATCTTTCGAGGGACAAGGACCAAGAATGAATGCGAGCAAGTATAATTAATATATTAAATACATTTCATGTTCATAAATATAATTATAATTATATATAAAATTAATGATAATAGTTATGCAACATCTAGAAACAAAACCACATATATAATATATATGTCAGTACAAAAGGAAAAGAAGAAAAAAGAAAAAGGAGTTTATTCAACACAGTCCATTTACCAACTTTTCCATTCCCCCAAAACAGTGTTCATCACTTTAACAAATCTTCTTCTTTCATGCTTGCTCTTTTCAGATCCAAATAAAGAAATCAAAATTGCTATGTGTGCAGTTAGTTAACTTTTTTCCTTTCATTCTTTTTATTAATTTCTAATTAATATTAGAAATTAAAATAAAATAGAAAAGCTGTTCAAGACATGATGAACATATATCATTTCTTTTAATAACTAATGAATTTATAACACACCAAAAAAAATATATGCAAGATTCTTGGGGGGTATATAAGCAAACCAAACAATAATACAGATGGGGTGGAGGGAAGCAAAGCATCTTATTGCACCCCACCCCACCTCACCCCAACCCCCACCCCCACCCACCCACACTAACTATATTAATTATATAATATATGATGTATGGTGTGTGTACTGTGTTTTTTGTGTTCAATAAGCTGCCATTGAAACTTTAAAGTTAGGAACTGGACCCATCATTATTATGTATATTATATATATATAAAAGTTGATGGGTAAATGCCCCAAAATTGAAATTTTGAATACTTAACGGTCCTTTTCTTCTTTTCTTTTACATGATTGATTTAAGTTTTCTTTTATTTATAGTCTAGTTAAAGGTTTTATTTAACATATACTCAAAATTATATAGTCTCACGATTCACGAACAACATGTCAAGTAATACATGATTAACACTTGATTGTTCGTGTTAATATAATAATATAATAATAAATATAATAATTTTTTATATTTATTTTTGCTTTCTTTTAGATACTGCATGCCCAGAAAACATGAAGGGGCGCCTTATCCCTAATTTCCTATTTACAGCTGAAAGTAGAAAGACAAGTCATAGTTGGTGGTGCCCACCTGTCTGTTAATAATGCACACTCGGGCTCATATTTTTACGGAAAATCAGATTATTATTATTAATATTATTTTTATTTATTTACTTCAAAGTTTAGTCTTTTTTTAAAGAATTATTGTATTAATTATTACGATTATATTCGACATAAAAAAAAAAATCATACCTTATAATATGGTTAGATTCGATGGACAACAGTGTCTGAATTTGCTCTTCTTCTGCTTGTCTTGTGTTTGTCAAAGAGTGAAGTTTTGTCTGCAAATGTGAAAACAAATAAAATTAGATAAGGGGGGACAACTTACACAGCAGATAAATGTAAAAACTAAAAACAATGAAGAACTGAGGAGATATGGTAATTAATTAATTAACTTAGTAATTATTATATGTACATAAAATGTTAATTAAAATATAAAATTCAATATTCGAGTCCCAAAAGGACCAGGCCACCGTAGAAGTTGGAGTGTGAAATTGTCATTACTAGTCATAAATGATATATATCAGTATTTATTAATGATTTTGACAAAATGGCAGATAAAAATAATAAATAAAAAATTGAAATTAAATTATTTGCAGCACGCCATACTCCACCACTATTATTCGATTGACGAACAGTGAAAAATCTAAAGTGGAATATATGTACAAAAGTAAAAATGGTAAAAAAGCAATTTATAACCAGTAGAGAAAATGGGACAACGGGGTTGTATACTTGTATATATATACATATACATACATGTTAGTAGTTCACAGAGGGGTGGGTGGATAGAGACAAAGATGGTAGAACCCCATCAGTCTCAAATCTCAATCATAACAGCGTAGAAGAAAACTCAGTGCGCATTAACCACAGAGAGAGATAGAGAGATAGAGAGAGAAAGCTGCCAATTCTGTGAATTTTGTGGGGAAATACATTCAGGAGGTATATTAAGTGTTGAGGAAGAGGTGGTGGGAAGTGTTTGTTGAGGTGGTCGGAAATGGGTGGGGGAGGTGGCGGCGCGTCGGGGAAGTTGAAGAAAGCCGCTAAGAAAATATTTGTGCAGACATGTGGCTCTTTCTGCCAGACACAACCATCCCATCTTCACAACTCCACCGCCACCACTGTAACTCTCTCTCTCTCTCTCTCTCTCTCTCTCTCTCTCTCACACACACACACACACACACACACAGAGACAATTACCACATTCTTGAACATGGGCGAAACTAGAATTACAAAAGATACACCTTTTCTTTTAGGATTTTAATTTCAGTTACTGACAATGTGGTAAGATGTTTTTAAGGTGAAAATTTCCGACAAGTGGTTGAGCAAATACATATATATGTTTAGTTCCTAATATAAGTAGTGAATTTGTTTTCAGGCATGGTGTGATTCTCCTAATTATTCTTCTCCCCCGGAAAATCAAAATCAAAATCAAAATAGGAACATTTCCTGCAAGAAGATCTTATCAGAAATTTCTGGCAAAGGCAATTCAACTACCAGTCCTTCTACTAAGGTATAGTACTAGTTAGTAGCCTTTTGCCATTTAATGTTGACCCATTTATTTCCTTTTTTCTTCCTTGGAAACTCTTTAATTACACAATTAGTTTCGACACCCTCACATACTAATTATTGAAAAATAAAATAAAAAAATCTCATCTTTAAGCATCAGATCTTTAGAGTTCAGATCTTACCGGTTTTCTTGTACGGCTCTTGCAGAATTTGTGCGCAATTTGCCTCGAACCGTTGAATTACAGCTCAGGCAGTAGTGCAGGGCAGGCAATATTCACAGCACAGTGCTCCCACTCGTTCCATTTCGCCTGCATTTCCTCCAATGTCAGCCATGGCAGTGTCACCTGCCCCATCTGCCGTGCTCACTGGACTCAATTACCTCACAACCTCAACATCAAATATTCGGCAGACCCCATTCTGCAAATCCTAGACGACTCCATAGCCAACTCACGCGTCCACAGACGCTCCTTCCTCCGCTCTGCTCAATACAACGACGACGACCCCGTGGACCTCACCCACCACCCAACCGACCAACCCCGTCTTCACCTCTCTCTAGCGGGGCCGCTTCAAGATTCGTCTTGTCTCCGCGTAAGACTATCGCACCAGCCCGCAACAGATTTGGTCTTGGTTGCGAGCCCGAACGGGCCCCACCTTAGGCTCATGAAGCAGGCCATGGCGCTGGTGGTTTTCTCCCTCCGCCACGTAGACAGGCTGGCTGTGGTGACATACTCCTCGGCTGCAGCTCGTGTGTTCCCGCTCAGGCGGATGACTTCCTACGGTAAGAGGAATGCGTTACAGGTCATTGACCGTTTGTTCTACATGGGGCAGGCTGACCCCATGGAAGGGCTGAAGAAAGGTGTGAAGATACTCGGTGACCGTGTCCACAAGAATCCAAATTCATGTATTCTGCATCTGACCGACGCTCCTCCATCCTATCGTCGGTTTGAGGTGGAGGAAGTTCCGGTCAGGATCCAAAGGTTCAGCATAGGGTTAGGGTTTGGTGGCGGTGCTTCGAACGGGCTCATCATGCGTGAGTTCGAGGAATTCCTTGCGAGAACACTAGGTGGAGCTGTCAGGGATGTACATATGAGGGTGGGAGAAGGCAGGAGAGTGATTAGGATTGGAGAATTGAGAGGCGGTGAGGAGAGGAATATTCCGGTGTATTTGGGGGAGTGTGGGCCTGTGTGCGTTGAGTATAGCTATGTAGAAGGTGGGGATGGGGAGTGCATTGTTAGAAGAGGTGAGGTGGTTGTGGGGGAAAATAAAGGAGAGAATGAAAGTGAGAGTGGAGATGGTGGTGGTGTGGAGATAGTTGGTGGTGGTGGTGGAAGGATGAGCGGTGGTGGTGGTGATCAGTGTTGGGAATATCATGATCCTTTTATGGCTAGAAGATGGGCTAAACATTTGCATGGCTATAGGCTGTAGATTGTTTCTGCCATACATATATTCATTGTAGTTTGTAATTTCTCCATACACAGCTGTATTTGCTGATATCATTCGTTGATCCGGATTGAAGTAGCACTTGTTTTCAATTCTCGGCTACTTTTTCCTTTATCCACATTTTCCTGTAAACGAAACTTCCGTTTGGAACAGCATAACCGAGAGTTAGAAACCGAATATATATATATATATATATATATATATATATATATATATATATATATATATATATATATATATATAGATATATATATATATATATATATATATATATGCTCATTACTTGCTGAAGTTCATGCATAAAAGAGAACAGCACTCAAAGTACCATTTGTAGTAACCACAGAATAAGAATTTTAACGGGAAGATGGTGAAGACTGTCGAAAGGCAACAGAAAAGTAATCTTACGTTAATATATGAAGAAAATGGCACTGTATAGAGCAAACCAAAGGATATGTAAACTGAACCAGATTGCCAATTTCTCAAGCACAACTGAAGATCACTGGAACATTCTTTTGGATTTGAACTTCAGACAAGAAGCCGAACATTCACTTTTTTAAGATTATTGTTATGCTTTCTAGATAATTTACTATCTGATAACAATCATTAACATCAAAGGCGGCACACTGTAGACATACTCATTGAAAACGGATCTTACCACAGCCTGCTCTAATCTGGTCAAAGAGTGGGTACTTTTTTGACATTTTACGCAGTTTTGCTGAAGAAGTAACTAGCAAGGCCCATTTTGCTAATCAATCAGTTCCGCATTTGGTTTCATAGTAAAAATAGGAATATATTGCTAGGTTTTCCGAGGAAAAGGGGCTATATAACGAGTTTCCCAAAATCAGCATTGTTTATACCTAATCCATAATTCTCCCCTCTCCGTTTTCTCTCCAGTATCAGATACCAAACAGCTGCTGTTTATCTCAACTATAGTTTGTGCGTCTATAACGCAAAGGAATACTTACCAGTCTTTGCGCTATTACATTGATAGAACCATGGTTAGCCTGCCATTGTCGATCAGTACACGACCTGTCCGAGCAGTCGTGTTGTAGCAAGCAGTTTCAACCTTACGTCGACACATATATAACAGCAAACTTGTCAGTCCGTTTTGCTCACGTTACCATTAGCCCCTTCTACTATGCAACGTAAAAATAATCAGGTGCTATACTGATACTATAAACACACGTATCAGCAAGGCACCTAAGATCAAATTGGATAATAAATTAATAATCATTGTTTTCATGTGGTAAAATCCTGCGTACGCATTTCCATTTAAGATAGGCAACAGATTTTTCCTAATCTGGTCAGAGGTGAGTGCTTATTTAACATTAACCACGTCTACTCTGCAATTTTAAAAATATTCAGGTGATATTACGAATACATATACAATATAAGCACAGCTCAAATATGACAATAATCATTATTTTCATGTGACCATAAACCAAGGATCATCACAAAGAAATACAAGTACCTGAAAGCAAAATGAGAAGATAAAGGAGCAGTAAAATGCACCTGAAACGGCGACAGCACCGAGCAACAAGCACGGCCGGCGCCGGAGCTGAGCAGTCCACCGCCCCCACCAACTGAAGCTCCCGGACCTAGGGCTGACTCCATTTCTCCGATCAGAGTGGGAGCAGAGAAATTGATGAGCAAGGAATTTTAAATTTGAGAATCGGGGTAATTTTGTTGATAATTTGGGGCAAATTTCTTCATAATTTGAATAAGATTGATTTTTTTTTTAATTTGATAAATAATTAATTAGTTAACAAAATATTCAATTACTTGTATTAAATATCCGGATCCATGTGGATCGGATCCAAAAAGAACCGATTGATGGTACAGTTGCCTGCCAACTCAGCCTTTCCACATTCTACCTGCCTTTTTACTGTATATTTTATC